TTAATATATCAGTCTATTACCACATCTTTCGTAGTTAAATAAGCGTTTATTATCATTTTACGGTCTGCATTATTGACAGGAGACCGAAATCACTGAATTAGACTATACAAGTTACAATGCTCTTTTCCTTCTCATTGGAGAAAACCAGGGGATTTTCAGGTTTCCTTATATGAAGTATCTTTCTTTTGTAACAAACTGTTCGCTTGGGGTAACAAGAAAAACTTCTACCTCTTTAAGACTGCACTAACTTTGTAAAATAGCATTAAAGCAAGCTTCTAGGGTCTCTAGAGAGAAATCCATATACTTACAAGTCCCTATCTTCCTTTTATACACTATGGGCATTTCTGAAGCAAAATCAAACATTGTTCTTATTGTTATTAATACAAAAAATAAAAAAAAACGAATTGGGGTTACTTTGTACCGCAAATTTACATGGTGTAAAGAAACATTTCTTTTCTGTGCAAAGTTACTCCACTCCAGAAAAAATTAATTACAACTTAACTAACTAATATAATTGGTATTTAAAGCAACAAAATGAAAGGTAGGTTCATTATCTTTCACATTGAAATGCACTTGCTTTCGGAAATGTCGTACTTTCTTCACCAAACGCAGATTTCTCAGCACTAAAAACTTCGCTGAAAAACCGGCTCAATGCTTGCTTCCATCTGCAATCTCCTGAATGATTGTTATATACGATTAAGGAATGAAATGCGATAGTCAATGTTACCATAAAACGTGAAAAAATCTCAATCCCTTACCCCTAATCAGTTGGTCTCTATTTCCCTTTCCAACAAAAGATTTATACTGGTGCAGAATTACCTTTATGAATGCAAAGTAACTTCGATTTACGGTATAAAATATGTTCTTTAGCAGTAATATAAATGGAGTCCATTCATATGACGTCATATTTAAGAGCAAACGCAATAGTGCATGCCATCTAACAACTAGTGTACCTTAAGCATCAATAGTTCAACTATCGATAGTGCAGTCGATAGTTTTCCCAAGCTATTAATAGTATCGATAGTTTTCTACCCGACGATACTATCGATAGGTGTTCTTCCAGTCGATACTTTAGAAACTATTGATAGTTCCATTTGATTATTTAAATCGATAGTTTGGAAAATATCGATACTATCAATAGTTCCAGTCGAGTGTTTCAGTCGATAGTTTTGAAACTATCGATACTATCAATAGCTCCAGTCGAGTGTTTTAGTCGATAGTTTTGAAACTATCGATA